TTCTGTATTTCAGTTTAATTTATCTCTAATGAAAGTTATCGTTTCTGATAAAAAAAAAGATAAGTCAGAGATGCAAAAGATTGCATAAACAGGCTGACTAAACCAGTAAATCATTTTTTTTTGAAGGATAAAAAGGAAATTTCATAAAACTGAAAAAAAAGCAGTACATCTCAGAAAAATGGTTGTCTAATTGACAAGCCAACTACTGAACAAAATTACACTATAAAAGACGCAAAATTACAGGGATTCGACTCTAGAGTACTCTATCAGATCAGACTTGTTCACTTGGTCAAACTCTGGAAGACTGAGAACCCAGGCTGCATTCGAGTTGCTTACCCCTGCTAACAGGTATTCGACATTCTTTGCCTTGTCTTCAAAGATCCTTCTATTTCTCTCTTTCCAGATGGACCAAAACCAATAAATCATAACATTAGTCAAAATGGCATTTGCCAATTTCAACATTCTGGCTGATGTTAAGTTGTGAAAGGGGCATCAGGTCATTGTTGTGTGCTTCACCTAGTTTAGTACTATCTATGCTCTTCCTTCTCTCTAATACTTGTATATCTTTGGATTTACCAGCTTAATTGAAAACTTTTACTACGTTACTATGTTGCTCACTTAGCCTAATGTTATTAAACATTCTGGCTGATGTTAAGTTGTGAAAGGGGCATCAGGTCATTGTTGTGTGCTTCACCTAGTTTAGTACTATCTATGCTCTTCCTTCTCTCTAATACTTGTATATCTTTGGATTTACCAGCTTAATTGAAAACTTTTACTACGTTACTATGTTGCTCACTTAGCCTAATGTTATTAAGCACCCTGGCTGATGTTAAGTTGTGAAAGGGGCATCAGGTCATTGTTGTGTGCTTCACCTAGTTTAGTACTATCTATGCTCTTCCTTCTCTCTAATACTTGTATGTCTTTGGATTTACCAGCTTAATTGAAAACTTTTACTACGTTACTATGTTTCTCACTTAGCCTAATGTTATTAAGCACCCATTTGGTACTGTGTTTTGTTCAAATGCATGCTAATATTTCCAGCTGGTCCAGGAACTACTTCTGGACCTGTATTTCTCTAACATGATTTGAGGTCTTCAACAAATTACAGTTTTAGATTATATCTGCACTTCACATTATTGAGATAATCTCTCTCTCTCTCTCTCCCTCTCTCTCTCCCCCTCCCTCCCTCCCAGGGTGGTATTTTGAATATGGATTTAGTAGTAATATACTTTATGGTCCAGCAGGAACCTTTATCTGCATTAGCAGCTGAGTATCAGTCGGGCAGCCCTATCTTGCAGGAAAAAATAAAGGTTTGTTTTAAGCCAATAAACTTATTTTCTCTATTGGTTTATTAGTCATTGTTATTTTTGTTAGTATTATTCCTATTAGGCTATTACCATGCCTTTGTGACCGACGGTATTACTTCTAGATAGAGTTATTTTAAAAGGATACCTTGGCTTAACTACATGATTTTATTTTCCAATACACAGCTTCTTGGTGAACAATATACTGCCATAAGACGAACACGAGGAGATGGGAATTGCTTTTTTAGAAGCTTTATGTTTTCATATCTGGTATTTTCCTAAAACACAAATCCTGATGGATTGTTCTGCTCATATGTAGTTTTAGTATCTACCCTCCAGCTGGTTGTTGGAGGGGAATTAATATGATTTTGTGGTTTTAACTACTAATAAAATTGTGAGATTACGGAATTAGGAGCATATTCTGGAGTCGCAAGATAAAGCGGAAGTTGATCGTATCATTGTAAATGTTGAACAATGCAAGAAGACGCTCCAAAGCCTTGGATATGCAGATTTTACATTTGAAGATTTTTTTGCGGTAATCTATCTTCTTTTTATTTTCATTTCCTTTCTTCCATTTGTTATCTTGCTTTTTTGTTTGTCTTATAATTTGTTGAAGGAAAAACTTATGTACTTATGAAATGCTTCTTGCTAAATTGCTGATTTAGACAGCTTCAACTGCTCCAACAGGGATATAGTCAAATAATTCCAATGAAATTTTCTTCTTTATTGCATATTTATATTGAAGTAAAAATCCATTAAAGAAAAAGATCTATACGGAAGGTATTTTTGATAATAAGTAAAAAGAAAAAAGATCTATGCGAATTTTTTTTGGCGCCGTGCACTTTTAAAACACTGGGAACCCATTGAATCCTCACCTCCATATCTCTAGTCAACCACCTAAACTTTTTTACTTCATTAATGCAACACTATAAAGCAGCCTCCCTCTTTTGCAACCAGCTTACCACCAATTTCAAATCTCCTTCAATAATTAGCTTTTTCACATTCATCTCATTTGCCCTCTGCACACCTTCCATTACCACCAAAACTTCATCCCTTAGTGAGTCTCCTGCTCCAATTGGGCCCGAGAACAAAGCAATATTACCTTCCTTATCTCTAAAAATTCTTCCCACTCCTGATGTCCCTGGGGCTCCCCTAATTGAGTTTTAAGAACCCTCTATCTGGTGGCATCCAACTTCATTCACCAATGTTTCTCAGCATGTTAAGCAAAACATCTAGCTAACTACCATTGTGACAGAAAGTTCATCTCCTAGTGAGGGAGACCAATCATTGTGTATCCCCAACTCTTTAAGTTGAAATGGAGAAAACTTTGCAGTTTATTCTACAAGGTGCATTCCTCCAAGAGAATGGTAACTTGACATTTGCTAGTCCCTTGTGTTAAAACTTTATACCTACCACAGACTTTGAAAAACAGAAAACTTTATTTGTATGATTTATTTTTTTAACCAAAATGTTATTAACATTGAAAACTTAACTTTCAGTTATTTCTGGAGCAGCTGGAAAGTGTGTTGCAAGGAAGTGATAGTTCAATAAGGTGAGCCTTGGACTTGTTCCATCAAGGTTTAGATATAGAACCAGGAGTCAAATATAACATTATGTAGTTAAAGATTGCTTCTTCTTCTTCTTCTTCTTTTTTTTTTCTTTTTTTTTTTTTTGCAATGGTTTCTTCCTGTATGATGGTAGGTTCTTTAAACAATGACAATAACTATAATCGATTTTGGTTCCAGTCATGATGAGCTTGTGACAAGGAGCAGGGATCAGTCAATTTCTGACTATGGTAAGAGGTATTCAATTTAGGTGTTTGTGAATCTCATGCTTTAGCTTTTCTTCTAATAATATTTGTTGTCAGTTGTGATGTTCTTCAGATTTGTCACCTCTGGGGAGATACGAAGACGTTCTGATTTTTTTGAACCCTTTATTTTGGGCTTAACAAATGCATCAGTTGAGCAGGTTGTTTTTATTTCCTTTTTCAACTTAAAAATGTTGGCTAGCTTTTCAGCCTTTTCTATATTAGCTTGATCTTCTGTTCTATTCTTGAGAACAAGATAGTCTTCAGTAAGATATAAGATAGTCTTCAGTAAGTATTCAAAACTCAAAATATAAACAAAAAGCAATTATTTGGAACAAACAAGATAATTGGCATGAAAAATGAAAGTTTTATAGTGAACTCAGCATCAGCAACTCAAAAAAGGCTAATGTATGGAAGTTCTGAAGTGACATACACAGAAAATTGTTTATAAACATGGCGATAAATATATATCCAGAACATAGTAAGGCAGATCCTTGTAACTTATATATCAACACAAACATGTTCTTCAAAATACTTGCATGCATTTATTCCCCATGTGATATTTGGTTTAGATGCTACCTGGTCCTTGTCCCCTTGAATTGCTCTTGAGGCCAGTTGGATCCTCAGGTCATGTTGATGGAGGTGATCATTAGGGTAGTAATAGTCCTTAAAGTAACATGAGTGCAGTTTTGACCTGAATCAGATCTTGACTTGTGGCCATAAACGGGGCCAGTTTAGCATGGAAGTTTGAAGGTCTGTGATAGGCACTTTAAGGGAGTTCAAATGTTTGTATAGGGGAACTGGTTTCACAGTCTATAGCTTGGTATTTTGCACAAGGAAGACCTCCAAACAGGGAGAGTGAAGTAAGAGTGATTGATTTATTTGATATCTGTACTTTTAATGGCTTTCCTTAGAATCTTTGCAGGGAACTGATAGTGCTTCCTTGCAAGTATATAAAAGGTATATTGAGGATTTTTTCTTAGAGAGGTAGGTGAAGAATTTGCAGTAGTCACAAACAATAGGTAAGAAAACGAGAGAAAGTAGTCCAAGAAGACCATCTAAGGAACTTGTAAGAAGTAATCTCTTGCAAATTGAAGGTTCTAGAAGAGTTGGGAGGCAGGCCAAAAAGGACATGGATCAAATTAGTTTTAAATGATTTGGGGGATCCATAATTTAACAATGGATATGGCACCGCTTTTTTGGGAAAAAGGTAAAATATATGTTCATTATTATATAAAAGTTAACTAGAAGAAAAAGAAAAGAAATGAAAATAGACTGCACTACATCCCATGATCAGAAACGGTCGTCATAGAAATTACAAACGGAAATAATACCCACAAGGCCACAATTACCAACTACAGCAGCCCAAAAGGGGAAAAAGTGGAAGTATGGTGAGAGATGCTAAACAAAAGGGGAAGGGATCCATAACAATGACTGAATGAAGTAATAAGAAACTGTGTGTCTGTGTGTATGTATGTATTTATATGTATCAAGATCACTTGTATAGAGATCTTGGAAACAGCCTCTCTGTATGTGTAGGGGTAAAAGGCTGTATACATTTGTCCCTCCCCAGACCTCACGTTGGCAGGAGTATCGTGCACTGTGCTTCCCTTTGTCACTTCTAAAGAGATCTTGAAGACAGCCTACCATGTGTGGTAATTAAGAGAGTAAAGAAAAGGCTTTTTATTGAGGTGATGTGAAAAATGGGTTATGGAACTGAATACAGCACAATGGCAGAAACGAATTTATGTTGCCAATGCCATATAGTTGGGATGTGTGTGTGTGTGTGGATAGTGATAACAATTTCATTGAAAAAAAGAGGATACATATAGATGAAGATTTTAACCAAAAATAATACAACAAAAGATATCTCAAGCACCGACAGACACAGCTAGGAAGTTACCTATTACAAAATTCTAAAGTATCCCACAATCTCTCCCCAAAGTCAATTCTGCTTATATTTTTAAACTCAGAATGAGTAAGAGCCCAATCAACAATTCAAGACCCAATCAAAGAGCACATTGATTGGAGTTGAGGAGGTTAGAAGGGAAATCCTTTCAGAATGTGCTGCAGCTTTTGAATGCAGATTAGGGGTGCTGCCTTTTTCTTATTTGGGGATGCTGGTTGGGTCTTCTTCTTCTTCTTCTGGAAAACATCTGCTGGAAAAGTTGGAAAGAGTCAAGGTATCAGACCATTTGAGGTATGAGCTTTGGTGGAAGGAAAGCTCCAGTGGAAAATTTTCTGTTAAATCCTTTTACTCAGCTTTACGTGGGAGTCAAATGGAGTTTGATCAGTTGGGAGGTATTTGGGGCAATCCTGTGCCCCCGAGAGTGGAGGTTTTGGCTTGGCTTATTGCCATGAATAATGTGTTAAGTGCTTATCATCTTAAGAGTAGAGGATTCTGTTAGGCCATTATTTGTTACTTATGTAAAGAGCAAGATGAATCAGTTAGTCATCTATTTATTTTATGTAGAGTGGCTGGTTTCATTTGGAAGCTGTTCTCAGAATCTCAGCCTTATTTGTGGTGAGATATATCCAGCCTGGTTCTCCTGCACAATTTTTTTTCTCGTGCTGAAGATCTGAGGTAGTAAGAACTATAGAAGGCTAAAGTGCTTTGGAGCTGTATTCTTTTTGCTGTGTGCTGGTGCATTTGTAAGGAAAGAAACAGAAGATGTTCTGAAGACAAGTGCTGCAGTCTGAGAAGATTGGCGGTGTCTATTGGCAAAGCTGCTACAGAAGTACAGAATGGGTGTTGGTGCATCCAGAATTTGCTCAAATTAAAAAGGAAAATTTGGGGGAAAGGTTATGGGAGGTGTTAGAGTTACAAAGTTGTGATATTGATAGTTTCTTTTGCTGATGTAGTGTGTTTGTCATTAGTTGTGAGTTGGACTTTGTTAGTGGGTGTTACCTCAACACCCTATCTGAATTGTATTTTCTTTTGGTTTGATTAATGAAAATTTCTTTTTTACTTATAAAAAAAAGGAGTTGGCAATGGGTTGCATCATCATCCTCTGTTACAAGAAGCACATTAAATTATTAGATCCCACTGGCACCCTACATGCTAAAACTCAACTTTGATGGAGATGGATGTAGTAGCATTGAAAGCATAGGGTCTTTGGGAATTGGTGGAGTGTTTGGGAATGACAAAAGGGATACAATGCTATTTACTTGGGACCAATTGGTCAAGGAGATTCAATCAATGCAAGGTGCCAACCAGCGGGTTGGTCATAGCGGAGACTTGGGATTGAATCCCGCCTGTACCTGGGTTGGCGGATGGGCTACCCCCCATTGTGTAGCCCTTCAAAAGAAATAAAAAAAAGGATATTCAATCAATGCAGAACTGGAAGCAGCATTATATAAGGTCTTAGATTAGGCAAAGAGCAGAGCTATAAGGATATTGTAGTGGAAGGGACTCAAATCTGGTTATTGTCTGGCTCAGAGGTGGCAGGGAAGGCATGTGGCAACATAGATATACTCTAAGAGAAGTAAAAGGTCTGGTAAGGGAATTAATATTTTTTTTGATAGAATTAGTAATAGTCTGACTTACACTTTGGCTAGGCAAGGTGTCAGTGGAACTCACTTCTATTGGAGAACTATGATGGGGGAGTTGGGTAAGTGATTGCAAGTGGCAGACAGCTAAGTGTTAGCATTGCTGCCCTAGGGATGTTAAGCATACTACATTATTCTGTACATAGTATTCTTTGCATCATATTAATAAAGTTACAGTTACCAATCTTAAAAAACGTACAGACTATTAAGATAATCCATATTTTTTTTTTCGAATTCTAACATTATACACTCATAGAAAATGGTGTAGCACTTAATATTTGATATTTGGTGGATATGGTTATTTGGTAACTGAAGTGGGTCAACTGAATGGCGTGTTGCTTTGTATTTTGTGGATAAGTTTTGTTGTGAGCTCCTTAATGGCTGAATAGCATGTTAGTTTGATTATCATTTTTATAATAATTACTTTGTTCACTAAAAGACACCATAATAAGTCATTCAGTTCAGCCATTCAGTGTTATCAAACAGCCCCTTAATTACATTTTGTAGGAAAAATGTATCCATTGTGTACATTAGTTGTTCATTTCTGTCAGTTTGTGTTACTACGTCCCATCTTCTATTCCAGATGTCAATTGTAAGACACTTTCATTCATCAAAAAGATAAATAAATAAATAAAGAAAAGAAAAGAAAAGAAAAGTTTCTTTCTTGAGGTAGCTGAAGATGCACAAAAAAAAATAAAAACTTTGAGGCCACCCGAGGCCTTAGGGCATGTTTACGATTCTTCAATGAACATACCTATTAAAATTTCCTTTGTGCATGCTATTATTGTTGTTGTTGTTGTTATTATTATTATTATTTGGTTTGCCTCTTGGTATCTGATTAAATCTATTGAATTAACCATACTGTGACTTAATTAATTGAATGCTAAAACAGATACACAGTCAAAGTGGCCTAGAAGTCTGAGATGAAAATTGATATTTTTTTGTTCGATTACAGAAAAACTGAACTTTGTAATTTAGAGGAATAAACTATCTTTTATCTAATATTTGATTTTAAGAATGTGTACCCTTCTGTTTTATAAGTAATTCAGATGCCACCTAATTCTCTCTCATGATTGCCCCTATAGCCCATATACATGCACATACATAAAATGTATGGAATCAGCAGTTGATATGCAAGAGTTATTACTTACATGTTTTTGACACATCCACCCACCTATTCATATCAAAAACACATTAATTTAGTGGTTCAGAGTTCTGATGTCTCATTCACAGTTTTGCAAGTCCTCAGTGGAACCCATGGGAGAGGAGAGTGACCATGTCCACATCACTGCCTTGTCAGATGCATTAGGTGTGCCAATTCGAGTAGTGTACCTTGATCGTAGCTCTTGTGACACTGGTGGTGTCATTGTAAATCATCATGATTTCCTACCTACTGTTAGTGATCTCCAAAATGTAGCTGAAGGTGGTTCTGGCACCGTAAAACCTTTCATCACCCTGCTCTACCGGCCAGGCCACTATGACATTCTCTACTCGAAGTAACCTCTTGCCCTTATCTGCTAAGGTAAGCTCTTTTACCGGTATTCAACATGCTGTTTTTCTTTGGATGCACTTTTTTTATAGTAAATAAAAAGAGTAAAAATTAAAGAAAAAAAACAAGAAAGGTTGTAAGATATCACCCACAAAGGCACAAACAAAGAAACATCAACTCCGACAACCAAATACCCTCCTTAATGAGTGTTTCAGTGTTTGTTTATGAATGCTATGGTTTATGAGACAATCTTTGGGATGTTATTGTTGGTCTTAAATGCACTTCATGTTGGACTTATACAGGGGGATCGATCTGATGCCTTCCAAATAAATGGAGCGGATATGATGCTTTTGCAGAGAAACTGTGTGTATATAATTAGTGGCACGTTGTAGATATCCGTAGTGCTAGACATTAGATTGGGTGGTAATATCTGATATATGTTGCCATGTTGGATTTTACCCAAACATCCTTTACAGTGCTTCCATTTTTCTTCATGTTTGGTTGTGCTAATGCACTCTGTTTTGGGGCCTCAGCTTATAGTTGCGGCTCTTGGTACATTAGCACACAAACATTATTCATCATACTGCTAGTGCCCTACTTTTTCTGTACTGCTTCCTGGCATGAGAATGCAAATGCTGGAATCAAACACTCAACTCATTTCAATTCAGCAATGCCTTAATTCCCAACTATGCGGAATTGGCTACAGGAATCCTTCCTGCTTTTGTACTCCTGTCAAAGAGCTATGTCTTCTGCCAAATTGTAAGTCCCTAGATCGTTTCTTACTACAAATCATATCTTTGTTTTTTATAATAAAATAGAATTTGCATAAAAAGAAAAAGAAAGTATGCAAGAAGCAGATTAGCTTTGTGTCTCCAGCTCCGTATGTAAGACTCCCAGATATTACCAGCATAAACTCTAGAAGGAGAAAATCAAAATACCACAACAAGCCTGACATACAATCTGGAATCTACAGTCCACACCAATGACCAAACAAATAATTCTAAAAGCAACTTCGTTCCAGACAACGCCCACTCCCAAAATAAGCATCCAGGAAGAAGCATCTTTCACAACTTTGCCAAGACAAGAAAAACCATCTACCAGAATAACATCCTCTGGATTCTTTACTTGTCTACTTTGTTCAAAATGTGTCAATCCCAGTCTGCCCTGTGTCAACCTTGTCATATGAGTCTGAATTTTTGAATTGTTCTCTCACCTCTAATTCCATAAACACTCTTTTTGCAAAATTTTATCCACCTAAACAGAACAAACCCAAACTTTTACTGATCTGAACTTGTCAACAACCTTATTTAAGTAAATGATAGGGGAGAAATCCTGGGGTTGTTTTCAGGACCAATTGGGGAAGGGGATTCCACAAGAGCAGAGCTGATGGCAGTCATGTTTGGTCTACAGAAAGCTGTAGAGTGGTATCCAGAAGATGATAATTGAAGGTGATGCTAAAATAATTCTAAGCTGGCTGAGAAAAGAGGAAAAGAACCCATGGTGGTTCAGAAATGAGATCAAAAAATTTAGAAGACTGTCAAAAGATATGCAGTTAATAGTTCATTGGGTTCCAAGGTCAACCAACAGTCTAGCTGATCAGTTGGAAAAACAAGGGGTTAACAGGGAACATGTTTTTTCGGCACAGTTGTAACCTTGAAAAGCAAAGACACTGGGTTAACCTTATTTAAGTCCAAATTTTCTATTTGACCTTTTTTCTAACATAGACTTGGTAATGGTGGACTTTTGGTTTGTATCCCCCACCTCGACACTTCTAATTGGTTTTTCTACTGCTTTACCCTCCTTACTTGAACAACTCAATTCTTTCAAAATTCTCCCCTGGCATTCCACCTCAGGAACTGCTACAGTAATGCCCAGTGACTCCTGTGGAGGATCTTTTCTTGACATCCCAGCAGCCTTAGATTCAGATGGATGAAACTCACCCTTAGCCCTCCTTTTTTCTTGTAAACCTTTTGAAACTCTTGCATGATCTGTAGCTCCATAGCTCTTTCTTTTATTGAGAAAAGATTTTTGAGACATGAATTAAACATCCATTTCTGTTGTAATTCTTGAGTCTCTTCTCCATGTTTCAACTTCTCCACCAAAGTTGACTCTCCATCGGTTGATGGCAACATACTTTTCTCAAAACATTCCAATGAGAGGTCACTAGTAATCTTCTTGATCCAGCCCAGATCCACCCCCCACCCTGCCTATAGGAGTTTCAATTCTCTTGAAAGCTGGATCCAACTCTGCTTCCAATATTACCACCCCCATCTCTAATTCTTCATTGCCTCTATCTACATCCACTTTAAGATATGACACTAACCTCATATTAATGGAACTGTCTGAATTCAAATCAGTGATTGAACTACTTTGGTTCTTTTGCCCTTCCTCGAAGTGTTACCGGCATAATCACAAACATCATTGTCCATCCTTACAATCCCATATTAGCTTGACAGAGACGTTGGTCCAAAAACGTCCTCATTACTTGCCAAATCAGAATGATTTACTGCTGACATCTCTCTCCAAATCAGTAAGATTGTCAGCATCTCTATCATACAATATCTCTTTGTTGTTATACCACTCTATGTATGGTGCTTCATTACAGCTGATAGGAATAGCATCACTTGGAAGTTTATTAGACAGGTAAAGATCCTTTTTTTTTATGAGTAATAGTAAAATTTTATTAATTCAAAAACTGATTTAGAGTTGTGATTTCATACATCCAAGGGAGAGGCACGAGCTACAGCCCCTCCTAGAATCTTACAATTTAAACTAGGAAAAAAAATACAAGAGTCACAGCTGAGCCCAAAACAATTCTTCCCTATTTACCCCTTGCTTGGATAACACATCGAACAGAGTATTTGCTGATCTCCCCACCCACTGTAAAGAAACCAACATATTCCTTGTCAACCAACTGAATTTCTTCATTTCGTTCTTGTAGCACCATATAGCATCTTCAGGATTTTTCAACCAGCCCACCACCACCTTGGAATCCCCTTCAATTATCAGATTCTRTACCCCCAGCTGGTTTGCAAATTGCACCCCTTGTACAGCAGCTAATAGCTCTGCCCTGATAGTCTCCATTCTCATTTCTCAGAATACCCCCCATTCCGGATAATCCTGGATTACTCATGCTACTTCCATCAAAGTTCAACTTCAGTGAGCCTTCAGATGGAGGAGACCAGCTTGTAATTAACTTGTTCTTTAAGGGTGAACACCTTGCTACTACTGATCAGTTTCTCCAAAGGTCATTAAAAGAGAATTGGTGAAAGATTTCCAAAGTCTTCAGCCAAAGAATTGCTCTATGCAATAGACAGTCTTTCAGTTTCTGACTGCTCCTTTTCTTGAAAAATTCTAGCATTCTTTTCTTCCCAAAGAGTCCAGATAAGGGCAGCGCGAGCGCATCTCCACATAAGTCTCCCTTTTTTTGTAGGCCAAGAGAAAGTAGAATGGTCAAAGATGATGCGAACTTCTTCTGGTAAGCTCCAACTACTCCCAAACAACGAAAGTAGCTAAGCCCAAAGGTCTGATAAGATGTCAAACATTTCTTTTGTCCAATTGGATGTGGATCTAACTTTTGCAGGTGAAAGATATGTAGTTTGGATTATCATTGAAGGTAGTGAGGATCTCGCAATCAAGGTGGAGTGGCAGATGGGGGTAGGGATAAGGATGAAATTTCAGTTTCTTTCTTTTAGGGGAGGGGACATGTTGGGATTGTGAGGATTCAAGGGATGTTGGTGCCAACAGAAGATTTAAAACGTCTAACAGGCGGATGAAGGAGACTCTTTGAATGGAAATTTAAGTCTCTTTTATTAATGGTAGTTGTTTTTTCAGAAAACAAATCTCATTAAAAAAGGAGGGTGGCTAAGAAGTTAAATAGAGGAGGCTTCTTGAGGCATGGACATCTGGCAATGAATAGAAGAGAGGGATTGGGTTAACTGGGTTCATGGTTTTAGTTCGGTGGATTTCTCAGTCAAATGGAACTTTGGGGTTCTTTTCGATTGCTTCAATGAGGTATGACATTTGCTATTCAGGGGATTCAGGGTAGGTAGCTTTCTTAATAATTAACATATTTGACTGTGTGAGGTTCTTTTGTGATTGCTTCAATGAGGTATGATGTTTGCTATTCAGGGGATCCAGGGAAGTGGCTTATCTTCTGGCTTTCTCCTGGTCCTTGGTGGCATTCCCTATGGTAAGTGGTCAACTCTGAAATGTACCAATGTGGAGGGAGGGAGGGAGGGGGGAGGTCATAATTGCTGTGATCACCATTGGCTTGTGGCATTTTAGCATACATAATAATATTGTGGTCCAGATATATGAGAGGGAGGGAGGGAGATCACAATCACTATGTTCACCATTGGCTTGTGGCATATTGGCTTACATAAAGCAGAAGGTGCATCATGGCATCAATTTCTTTTCAGTTTTAAAGTCTCTGTTTCCTTTCTTTACATCATATGGTGTACAAAGACATGCAACCTCTAATATCTAACATGTTTCTTTGTCTCTCTTTCCCTCCCTAACCCCATCATCATCATCATCTCTCTCTCTCTCTCTCTCTCACACACACACACACACAGAAACACACACATGGTCTTAATTTGCAACTATTTGGGGGTCACTCTGCAAATGGAAAAATTCCTGTCCCACTGCCATTCTTTATCAACAACCATTTTTTTTTGTCAAATTTTAATTTCTTAGGTCATTTCTTATCACTTCAGCCCATATTTCTTTTGTTATTCCTCTTGTTCTTTTAGAACCTTCTACTTGCACAGTTGCACCAAGTTTCTAATTGATATAGTCTGGTCGTCTAGGTATATGAATTGCATGTGGACCATATTAGTTGACTTTCCCTCATCTTCTCAGCAATTGGATTGCTCCTAAATCTTCTCTGATGTGTTTATTTTTAATTTTGTTCTTTTAGTCTGAAGGTCCAATAGAATGGCCGTTCAGTAAAGTATGCAAAGGGGGGAAAAGGAAGAAGGAGAGTGGACAGACCACTGGAGGGGCTGCACTACATACCCTCTGGTGAGGGATCGGGCCACTGTAGTTCTTCAGCAGTGGAATTCTGGAGAGATAGGTAGATACTAACATACTAGTAAATATCTCTCCTTTATTCTCTAAAATTCTATATTAATCTCCTTAATAAAAAAGATGGTTTCTATAGTTGATTTTCATAGTACAAATTAAATTTTGTTTCCTGATATAAGTTTCATGTCCTAATTGCGATGCACTAATTTCTTCTGCATATATCACCTTTATTCTGATGCACTAATTTCATCTCTCTCTCTCTCTCTCTCACACACACACACACACAAATATAGAAAATTGTTTTTTTTTTTTAATTATTTTCTCAGTTCTCCCACTAATCCTTTTAAAATCCTGTTTATCATTGAGGAATGGTTAGCCAAAGTTACTTTTAATCCCTTCAATAATCCTTCTCATATCAAGATTGGAACTCTTTAACTTAATGCCAAGAAGAAACCCTTCTCCTTCCACTCCAGAACCCAGGAAAGGTATCCGTCCTCTTCTTTCTTCAATGCATCTGCTTCCCCTGGTGCTCAGCCCTGTTTACGGCTTTGGAATCATCCCAAATCCCTTCTTATGTTTTAAAAATTGCATATGCTTTAGTTGGCGATTCACCACAATCTGATGTGACTAATCCCTTCCCTTCATCCCTCTGTCTCTCATGGCATTACCTCCAAGGCTCCAACCAGTACCAAATCAGGACAGTCACTCCTCTCTCTCTCTCTCTCTCTCCATATTGGAATTGTAGACGAGTAGATCCAGAATTTTTTACATGAGAGAATTTGAGACGAACTAGATCTCCTTGGTAAAGATTGAGTAAACCTATATCCCAGTGCATTTTACTGCATGAAATCTGGAAATGCTACCAGAAATGTTTGATTATATCTTTGCTCAAGGGTTTGGTGAGATCCGTGAGGAAACAAAGGGAGAGCTAAACATAAGGCAGGCAGCAGCCTAGCTGAGTTTGTGGTCTGACTGGGATAAGATTATAATTACTACTACTACTACTACCACCATCAAAGTTGTAAACATATACATGGTTTAAAAGCCCCATAAAAAGGAAAATGTAAGGAGAATAATATTTAATGCTATTCCACTCCTTTAAAAAATGATCCTGCTCAAAAAGCCTTTAAGAATTGTAGCCCAGCCTCCAAGAGTACCTCCAAGCCCACTTTTTGGAAATGCAAATAGTGGGCTCTCAACCCCAAGATGCAGGAGAAAGTGCTCTACAATCTTCTTGCAACTTTGCTGAACCGTGAAACCAGAAGATGCATTTTATAAATGCTTGTTTCACTATTCAAAAAGCATGACGGAATTTGATTGTGTGCCCATTTGGGAGGGCTTTCATGGCAGTAGCTTCTGGCTTTGCGAGGTCGACCTCACATGGACAGCATAGAAGCTATTTGGTTAAAAACGGATTGCTTTGGAGACGCTTTCATTCAGCCAATAAATTGACTTTCCAGTAAGGCTGGTTTTAGTAGCTTCTTCAAGTGGCTCGGTGAAAGCTGCTTATTAATCACCAAAAAGGAATTCCACTTCCAAAACATTATATTTTATAGAATTCATAGAAGGGGGGCATTCCCGCTCTAGACCATTCCTATTTGTGGTCCCAGAATAAAAAAGAACCCTACCCAAACAAAAAACCTGCTTTCCATTTCCAAAAGCCTTGAAAAAGAAAAAATAAATGATACCCCAGTTATATGGGTTGGCTAAAAATTATCATTATGATATATACAAATATAAAGTGAACACGAGGGGTTTCTATTTAGGCTATTTAATTAGGGGTGTCCTATCTATCCAAAAAATGCCTTACTTTATCCTTATAGTATTCTTGAGTCAAAATAATCTCTCTTCAATATTTGGGGGCATCAAGTTGAACGAATCAATGAATTGATTTGGGGACATATTCTTTTGTCAAATTAGGTATATTATCAAAAACTGCTTATTTTTTGTTAGACATTATTAATTGCTTTTATTCTCCAATTCAACATGTTACCCCATCTCTCCCTCTCTCTCGATCTCAATATCCATTAAATCTAATAATATAATTATTTTTGTATATTCATGTTTAAAACCATGCCTTTCAATTCTCTAATTTCGTTAGTTTTTTGTTTTTTCCATTTTTACATGCTCATGCCAACCAGTCATCCCGCTAGTTTTATATTTGAAAGGCAATAACCACTAACAAGTGAAATTGAACAACTAATGTTGGAAAAAACGAGCATTCTATTAATCTTCCCCTTCAGTTCTTTTACTTCGTAGCCGATTGATAAAAGAAAAAAATGGCAATTCAATTGAATTATAGTCCGTGGCAATTCTTCACTGCAGACAAATAGGCTCATCATGCAGAAAATATGTTGTCAATATGCAGCGATTGGGAGGTGAAGACTTCAAGTGATCTATTTCCCGCAGAGAATTGCATTTTAGTTCCAAATGTTGTCCCATCACTTCAAACTGTATACTCAAACATTGAAAGTCAAAAAACATGGACAGTTTATCTCTGAATACAAGATTGCATGCAAAGGAGCAAGCCTTGTTATTTTCATTTTCTTTTTTCTTCCTTGGTGCTCTGATTTGATATAGTTGATGAGTTGATGTGAGATCATCTTATATAGGACCTCTGGTGGGTCCTGACTATGAAAATGATGGTAAAAAGTGTGACCTCTTTTGCTTGCATTTCCACCTGATCTTTTGCTTTTTAAGCTCCGTGGTTGAACCCTTTCCCTTTCCAATTTTGTGCTCAATAACGGCTTGATGGAATGCATTTAGTGCACATGGCACGAGGATGATCCATTTAATACAAGATCCAATGCGATAGTCCCACATGTGCTAGTATATGCAACATGAACATTATGTTTAAAGGCGTCGCATTTCTTTTTGCATATTAAGCTTTGTTGTAGTCAATTGACACAGCCATATTTCAGTTCTTCAGGAGACATGGTGCAATTATTGACACAGCCATATTTCAGTTGACCCCTTCACCTGGATTTTTGCCACATCATATTGCAGTTATAGACTTGCTTCTATACCTTCTAGCAGCGTTGAGGCTTGATCCTTGGTGTAATACTGCCAATGATACTGTTTATCCAATTATGATTATCTGAAATTTGATTTGTTTATAAATGGAAAATAAAGCCACCTTAATCCTGCCTGTTATAATGCAATCTAATAGTCTACTTGCCTTGGCTTAACGTTCAGGCCACCCATGCGAAAATCTAATGCAATTACTTTTCTCTCGCTGCTCCATAGATTTTTTTCCTTCTATTATTTCTCTCTTATATGTGCATTTGCACGTGCATGTTTGATGTTGCATCTTTTTAATGGTCAAAGATTGAAGTCTTAAGATTCATCTCATGGTCGAGGATCAAAGTATGGGTACTGTGCATCATATTGGATGGTTTAGATAGGGATACAAATACAGAAACACTCCAGAAACATATGGATACGAATGAAAGATATTAAAATGTTTGGATATGCTAAGGAAATGCATACAAATCACATAAAAATATATTAATTATACTAAATCTAAAGTCAAATTATCCATGGATAAGATACAAATGCACGAGAAATGTACATTTTAACATGATATATAAAGAGAAACATTGCAATCAAAAAAATTGGGGCTTTAAAACATGTATACATCATGGTATCATACAATAATTATCATTGATACTTTTCAACGTTTATTAAATTTTTGAAAAGTTTATTTGTTTAGTATTTTTTATATAAATAATGGCGTGATATGATTCGATATAGGGGCATATGTCGATATGCATGACTTGTTGGATATGTATCCAGGCGTGGCATATATCATATTCATGGCGATGGATATGGATATGATACTTCGTATATCCCTTGCTCATAGTCAATGTTTTAAAAACGGATTGGAGGTTGAACCTTTTGCCTTTGGGTTGTGGTTATTGGTTCTATCTTTCAGGTTGAACAGGTTGGACTGTGACATGTTAGCACATTATGTGTATCAACTATTATATCAACAAAATAATGTGTATTTATATCCTAATGTAATATGTGTATATACATGTATTTTTAATATTTAATTTGTATTTTATTTCACTTTTTATTTTTATCTATAAAAATGCTAAAAATTAGAATTTGAGAACGAAAGAATATTTTTGGCACAAATAGCAAGGCAAGTGCATTGGGACGCATAGATGTCAAACATCATCCAAAATTGATATAAAGATCACCCTAATTGGATAATTGATCACAAAATTAGAATGGTTTGACCCTTAGGTTTTGAATTGTTGTTGAACCAGATGGTCGGACTGTTCATCCTGAAAACCAGCCAAGCAACTAGTTCTATTTCATCTCTAAATTGTTTTTTCTTTTTGTCAAAATCGTTAATTTGGTTAACAACCCATTAACCTGACTAGCTGAGTGGTGGAACCGTTATTTTGGCCATTTTTTATTTTTTATTTTTATTTTCAACAGGCCAGTCTGTTTGGATTGAATGGTTGACCACCGAACCAAAAGCCAAAACAGTTCCCATTCTGGATCTGTTTTTAAAACATTGGTTCGAAGCAGTCCATGCCGAGACGGGAAGCTCTGCCTAGCTCAGCTCGCAAGTTTGTGGTATATTCTAGGTCCAGAAGCCTGACCCTGATCAGGCTTATTAAGGCCGGGCCACACTGCCTCTTTTTATAGGTATCAGCTCCGCCTAGGCCCATGATTACCCCTAGTTCAAGAGTTGTTATTTATGATGAGTCATATTTTGTTACTTGAAACTCCCTGCACCATGCATGAAAAAAAAGTGGGAACTCGGAAATTCAGACTCCCCTCCATTAGCTTCGCATGAGTTGCCTTTCAAGTTTCAAATGTGGTCGGTCGCTTGTGCCTAACAAATTTTTCGTAACTCTACTCTATCCTTGTTTGGCTTAAAAATTGCTTCGACCAAAATCCAAAATACCCTATTTTCTTCTATCCTCTAACTTAACTATGGGGTTTTTCCAATATCTTATTGAAACTGAAGTTCCAGTAGGCTTCATTGTGGCTAGCTGAAACCGAAGTTAGTTCAGTAAGCTCATCAACCCTTTCTTCCTCTCCTCTCTATACACCACGGTTCTTACAAAGCCAAGCATCAAAGACCAAGCCTTGTTCCACTGTAAAAATGATTTAGCTTTTTCTAAATAACAACAAAGAGTAGAAACAAAGTCTCTTAGAACACAGTAAAAAGAATAATTGCAACGCCAACTGTGAATCTGAGTATCAATGGTGATGTGGGACACGAAAAGTGTAAATTAGGCTGGCATTAATTCATGTAGGATAACGAAATCATGCAACAAGATCGATTTCATCGGGCTGGGGAGGAACCACATCTAATCTCATCATGCTTCTATACTCATCTGGAACGGGAGCACCTGCCTGCACGCACAGTTCCACCACGGCGGGTGCCTTACCATAGTATCTCTTCAGGTCATTGGCTAAAGCTGGTCCATGATGAGGATCTCGAACGTGCCAAACGTAGTTGGGCCCAACCAAATCGTCTATGGTGGCTTCTTGCCATGCATGCAAGCCATTGCGAGACTGGTGCTTTGATGACCTACACATCCTCACCTTGTGTCCCTTGGGTCCCACTTGAACCTCTGGACAATACCCGCACGTCCACACGCTGTACTTCTGCATGAGCTTCTTAGCTCCTGAAATCATCTCAAACCATGAGTTTAGTGTCCTAACACCCACTGTGCTGCTACTACTATTACTACCACCCATGTTCTTTTCCTCGTCATTCTCGTTCCATGGTTGAATTTCTGGTTGTTGTGAATCTTCCAACATCTCCAGTTCTTCTTCGGACTCGAAATCTACAATCCTTCCTTCGATACAGTAAACTGGTTTCTTTCTTCTACTTGTGGGATAATCTCTGATGTTTAGGCCTGCCTGTATACACAGTTCAACGATTGCGGGCAGTCTCACGACCTTACACCTCTCATCGTGCCCGATCCTAGGCTTCCCGACTCGGTCTTGGAGGTGGTAGCATTGGGGGAAATACACCACATCCTCGATGCCTCCTCTCCTCCATACATGAGTGGCGCTCCGGAAACCGCTCCTAGGCCCGGTGCATGTCCTAATTTCGTGTCCCACATCGCCAATGTGAACTTCAGAGCAGAATCTGTGGACACAAGTTTAAAGAAGAAAAACATGTTTAATCAAGGGCAGTGCAATGCAATGCAATGCAGTTTTGGTTAACCCGGTCTGAAACTCAATCGGAACATTGTGATGAGATCGATAAAGCGAGGAACAAGCAAGCAAGCAATTTGGTACCTGCATCTTTTAACGGGTACTACGACATCGACGAGCATCGATAGGCCGTAGAGAAGGGATTCCCTGGATCGGTAGACTCCGTGAGCCACTTCGACTAATTCGGGAACGAGTAGGCCGTTAGCAGGAGCTTCTTGGAGCATCCTACAAGGCTCAGCCTTTCTCGCCTCTCTCTCCTCCTTGGCCCTCCGAATCAAAACTTTCATGGGCGTCGGGTAGGGTTTCCTCTCCGATTTCTTCCTAGGGGGCTTCGGTACGTCTGTGTACATCGGATCATCAGCCCCTCCTTCTAGGGTTCGGGTCCTTGCCGTGGCGAAAGAGATGCTCGAGTTTGAACGGAAATGCAATTTCTGAAGATGGGAAATTCCACACACTACTCTCTTCTGCATCTCTCCTGAATCCCCCAGTGGGGAATTAAATCGAAAACCTTAGATGCAGCAATTGGGTTCTCACTCCTGAGGTGATATTTATCAAATCGTGGCTTCCATGGTTTGTTATTGCTTGTGCTTGGTTTGGCTTTATGGTCGACCGAGTTCAAAAGAACCTGTTCAAGAGCAACGAAGGAAAATGGATATTTTGATATGAAGCCGTTAGCTCAACTACCAAAGGTTTTTAAAACCGAACAACGAACCGGTCAGGGTCCGGTTCCCGGGTCGAACGGTCCGACCGTTCGAATTGAATAGACGGCCCGTTCTGATAAAAATATAAAAAATAAAAAAATAAAAAATAAAAAATGGCCAAATCATTAGACGGTTCAAACACCCGGGTCAGCGGTTTGTTGACTAAATCAATAATTTTTGGCGAAATAACGATTCTGGGGTAAATGAAACCAGTCACCTAACTGGTTCCTGAGTTTTCCGGTCTGACCGTCTGATTTAGACTAATTTTGAAAACCATGCAACTACCCCTTCTATCCCACCGATGAGGCTGATCAAAGTTTTAAAAACCAACAAAAAAAATAGATTCGCTTTGATCACCGGTTTTCAGGTTAATGATTTATCATTAGGGTCAAACGGTTTAAGCAATTTGATAGATTTAATCTTCCTATTGGAATATTAGGATAAATAGGGGTTACACACAAGCATGCACACAAGAAGAAGAGGAAGAAAAAGAAAACAATGTTCACCAATCACCTGATGGTGACGGCAGTGGTGATAGAAACGGCAGCAGCGACATTTCTCCCCCAACCTTTTTTATCTCTCTGATGTCAGATCTAATATCTCGTTCATGGTTTTTAAAATCGGACCAAATTTTTTTCAAAAACCGTTGATTTTGGTCAATAAATACTGATTCAGATGAATAACCATTTGAACTGTTTTGATCGTCTTTTATTTTTTTAATTTTTTGTCAAAACGGGCCGACCCTTTAGTTCAAACGATCGAACTGTTCAACCTGAGAACCGGACCCCTGATTGGTTCATTCTCCGAATTGGTTTTAAAAACCTTGATCTCATCTCAATCCTTCCCCATCTTTCAATGTCCACTTTATTTTATCTATTAATGCTCTTTAAAAAATTAAATAAATTTTTATTAAACCACAAACCACAGCTTAAGTCAAAACAGTTTAGTGATTTGATCACCGGGTCAGTGGTTCTCCAGTTCAATCTAAAACTGGACCCTAAAACATGACCACTCACAAATTGGCGACTCTAAATTGAATCAGTTTATTGTTAGTCTTTAATTTTTCCCCTCATTCATATATTATCCAAAACAAATCCTAAATCGTTGGAATATTGCCTTTCCAAGGCTGTGTTTGGTTTGAAAAAGTGGAAAAAGGAGAGGAAAGGTAGAAAAACCTTCACAAACCTTGTATTGATTTCCCTACCTTTTCCTTCAAACCAAACATCTATACTACCTATAAAAGAGCATTTCTTTCTTTCTGGAATTTTCATTAAACGTTTTTTACCCCTCTTGTCTAAATATATAGAAGACATAAAAAGGGCATGAATATCTTTTACTCACTTTAGAAATTGCCCACTTATAACAAGAAACTATCCATGAATCATAAAAAGTTTTATCTTAGAGATATTCTGCCGTGCAATAATTGCACGTACACGCTTACTTGTAGTCTAAAAAAAATAAAAAGCTTTGATCCCTTGGACAAGAGAGCTTTTTTCCCCCCACTAATTTTGAATAATTTCCAAGTCCCAAAATCTTAAAAAGCAACATGCCAACATCAAGTAATCAATTCCAAACAAAAATATTCAATCCTTCAATATGATGTGGGATGCAGCGCCTCCTCTTGTACAAATCAAAAAAAAAAATTCACGACCAGAGATCATTTCTCTCTGATCTGTAATACCCGCTCAATCCAAAACAGAAATCCCCAAGGATTCTAACCCCATAAAGCAGAACAAAAGAAATACATAGAAGGGGCAAATTAAAGTAAATGAGAATGATATAAAGATAAAAAAAGAAGAAAAAAAAGAAAAAGATAGGTCAGCGAAGTCTCCTCGAAATATCTCAAACAAAGCTCTCCCTGGCTCAGAAACTCATGTACATCTTTTCTCTGTAATGCTTTTCTCATTGTTGGCCTTGATACAAACTTAAAAAGGTCCCAACAAGAAAATGGAATTTCCGGTGCCTCCGCTACATGCTCTGGTTCTCAAAATTTGGAAGGGGCTTCTTGCGAGCACCCAAAAGAATATGTCAACCGCCCCCGAAGACTATTAGAAAATAGAGGACTGATTTGCACAAAATTTTGTTTAGGTAACATTGTTAGTTCCCAAAAATAACACAGTTTGATCAATCAGAGTCCTTTGTAGAACCCGACGTAGAATCCAACCCACTGGAAGATTCGTCTCCATTAGTAGAGTTTGGTGGGCTTCCTTGATTATCCTCGTTACCACTGGTCCGTGATTTGCCAGGTCTTGAACGTATATTGGCCCCCACAGGGAAGGGCTCCTGCAGGCGAACTTTCCAGTAAGTGAAAATTAAATGCTCCTTCAGTGAATTGGAAGTACATAAGAATATATTTAATAGACTAGTTCTTAATTAGTTATACATTAAGCGGTTTTTCCTCAATATCAATTGTTTCTCCTGTTGTGAGTTCCAAAAGCAAATCAAAACCATCTGGGTTGAAAACAAATTGATTCTTGAATCAAAGCAGTGAACATGTTTTTGGTTGTAATTTTGTGTGTGTGTGTTTCTTTTTGTTTCTAAAACTGAAGCAAAAAATAAATAAATAAATCTGGTTGTAATTTTGTGTTTTTTTTTTTTGTTTCTAAAACAACTTGTTTTTACTTCTCAAAACAAAAACACAGTTCAATAACATGTTTCAATTTTTATTGTACCCAACTTTGACCAGAAAAGCTCAAACCTGATCACCAGCATTTGGACCATCAGTGCGAAATAGAATAGGACGGCATCGCTTATCCTCATTCATCAAGCTAGAGTTCTGGAAATGGGCAACTAGAGCTGCTTTCCCCTGGATGCGTGCATAGGCAAGTGATGCCACCTTTTCACTATTGAACTTCTCCCATTTCTTGCCATTAAATGCCTGCAAAGATGTATTTCCTTTTTCTCATAACCTTTTTCTGCTTGCTCTTAGCACAAAGTATGAGGCATTTGGATAAACCTGACAAAGAAATACTTAATAATTGCTCATCTTACTGCACTTAATGCAAGTCTCACCTTATAGAATGGAACAATCTGAAGAGGATCAATCAAATTGATGAATGCATAACCCACATTGCATTTGTTCTAAAATGAAACAAGGGAGACCAGAATCAGTAGAAGAAAACACAATTACTAATATTGCACTTCATCTTTAACCTGCTATCCAAAAAGATGAAAAGAAAAAAATAATCCATTTGTGGCAAAAATCCACTTGCCTTGAAGTCAATTGGCAAATAGATGAAATCATAAGTTCCCCGATGTTGTTCATCAATTGTAGCCAAAAGCATCTTTGAAGTATACCTATAAATATCAAATCAAAAGGGAACAGGTAAGTGAAAGAAAAAAAAAAAGGAAAACTACTGAACATCTATACTATATAAAGCAGATACTTGCCTTGGTTTTGGTGCAGGTCATAAAAGTTAAATCCAAATATCATATATAGTTTTTTTTTTTTTATCAATAACACCATCTTCATTAAATTAAAAGAAGAGAGGGAATAAGGATACAAAGGGGGAGATAAAATAACTTAGCTCCCTAAAAACAGAAAACAAAGGGAATGCAAAGAAAAAGATTTAAAAACTAGCCCAAAAAACAGACTCCCTATTCACTCCTTGCTTGGCCAACCCATCCGCAAATGAGTTGGCACTCCTCTTCACCCAGCTGTATTGAATCTC